CGCCTATATCTTGCAGGATCGCTAAGAGGCTCCCCCTGTCCTGGCAGAAGTCTAGAATTCGGATCCATCGGAGTGTCAACAGGTCTACAACCTGTCATTCCTGTCTCCTCAAGAATATCTAAGGCATACTTCCGTTGTGAGATCACAATACCTGAGCTAGACTGAGCGACCTCAATACCCAGAAAATACTTTAATCTGCCCAGATCCTTAGTCTGAAAGTGCTGAAAGAGATGTTACTTCAACTTACTAATATCATCCTGATCATTGCCGGTAATAACAATATCGTCAACATAAACGACAAGATAAATACAAAGATTTGAAGCAGAATATCGATAAAATACAGAGTGATCAGCTTCACTACGAGTCATGCCAAACTCCTGAATAACTGAGCTGAACTTACCAAACCAGGCTCGAGGAGACTGCTTTAGACCATAGAGGGACCGGCGCAACCGACATACAAGGCCACTAGACTCCCCCTGAGCAACAAAACCAGGTGGTTGCTCCATATAAACCTCATCCTCAAGGTCACCGTGAAGAAAAGCATTCTTAATGTCCAACTGATAGAGAGGCCAATGGCGAACAGCAGCCATGGATAGAAAAAGGCGGACTGATGCAATTTTAGCCACGGGAGAGAAAGTATCACTTTAATCGAGTCCAAATATCTGAGTATATCCTTTGGCAACAAGACGAGCCTTAAGTCGATCAACCTGGCCATCTGGACCAACTTTGACTGCATACACCCAACGACAACCAACAGTCGATTTACCCGAAGGAAGAGGAACAAGCTCCCAAGTACCACTCGTATGTAAAGCAGACATCTCGTCAGTCATAGCTTGTCGCCATCCGGGATGAGACAGTGCTTCACCTGTAGACTTAGGGATGGAAACAGAGGACAAAGATGACACAAATGCACAATCGGATGGTAAGAGACGATGGTAACTTAAACCGACATAATGAGGATTAGGATTAAGTGTGGACCGTATACCTTTTCGTAGTGCAATCGGTTGATTAAGAGGAGACAAGTCCGCAGTATTAGCAGGGTCAGGTGCAGGACGTGAATCAGCTGGGCCTGATGTTGGGTGCGGACGACGATAATAAGTCTGGAATGGTGGAGCTGTAGAAGGTTGAACTGGACTAGGTGGTGGCACTGGAGCTATAGTTGGTAGAACTGGACTAGGTGGTGGAACTGGACTCGGTGGTAGCACTGGAGCTATAGGTGGTGGAGCTGCAACTGGAACTGTAGATAGTGGAGCTATGGAGGAAGATGAATGGGAGATAGGGACTGAATCTCCAAAAGAAGGAACTGGTAGCACCTTAGAAATATCTAAGTGATTAACTGGACCTGTGAAGTATGATTGGGTTTCAAAGAAGGTAACATCAGCAGACATAAGAAATCGCTGAAGGTCAGGAGAATAACATCGATATCCCTTTTGCGTTCTCGAGTAACCCAGAAATATGCACTTAAGAGCACGAGGAGCTAACTTATCTTTTCCTGGAATAAGGTAATGAACAAAGCACGTACTCCCAAAGATACGGGGTGGAAGAGAAAACAAAGGTAAGTGGGGAAACAGGACAGAGAATGGAACTTGATTTTGGATACCTGAAGATGGCATGTGATTAATAAGATAACAAGATGTAAGAACTGCATCTCCACAAAAACGCAGCGGAACATGAGATTGTATGAGAGGTACGAGCAGTTTCAATAAGATGTCTATTCTTTCTTTCAGCTACCCCATTTTGTTGGGATGTGTACGGACAAGATGTTTGATGAATAATCCCATGGGAGTTCATAAACTGTTGAAATGGGGAAGACAAATACTCTAGGGCATTATCACTACAAAATGTGCGGATAGAAACCCCAAATTGATTTTGAATTTCAGCGTGGAAGGTCTGGAAAATAGAAAATAACTCAGACCGATTTTTCATCAAAAATATCCAAGTGCATCTGGAATAATCATCAATGAAATTGACAAAGTAGCGAAATCCCAAGGTAGAACTGACCTGACTAGGACCCAAACATCTGAATGGACTAAAGTAAAAGGTGACTCTGCTCGATTATCAAGACGCCGCGGGAAATAGGAGCGGGTATGCTTACCGAGCTGACATGACTCACACTCTAAAGTGGACAAGTGAGATAAACCAGGTACCATTTTCTGAAGTTTTGACAAACTAGGATGTCCTAACTGTTTATGTAACAAATCTGATGAATCAGTAACGGTACAAGTTTTTGGAGGAAGACAAAATGCGAGTCCATGTGATTTTTCAAGGATAAGGTAATAAAGTCCATCTAATTCACCTCCGGTACCAATGATCCGTCCTGTACTGCGTTCCTGTATAAAAACAAGGTCATCAAGAAATAAAACAGCAAATTTAAGTGATTTGGTTAAGCGATAACGGCTATGAGATTAAAAGGACTACCAGGAACATAAAGAACGGAGTCTAAAGGTAAGGAAGGAAGTGGACTTGCTTGACCTATTGCAGTTGCCATGGCTTGAGACCTACTGGCCATTGTGACTGTTGGAAGAGATTGAGAATATGAAATATTAGTGAAAAGAGATTTGTTACCAGAAATATGATCAGATGCACCTGAATCAATGACCCAAGACTCAGAAGGTGAAGATTGGGAGACACAAGTCATGCTACTATTTGTTGGAACAACGGAGGCTAATCCTGAAGATGTCTGTTTACGTGCTTTGTACTGAAGGAACTCAATATAATCCGGTAAAGAAACTATCTGGATTGGATTCGATGCACTGGATCCAACGGATTGTGAGTTAAAGGCTTCCGATACGAATGTCATTATAATATTGTGCCGGAAAAAGCAGAAATTTTCTGGGGATCACTGTTCACACCGGAAAAATCACTGTAGCTCGCCGGAAAATTCCAAAGTTGTCGGAATCTGTCGGAAATAGTACCAATGGACTCGGAATTGCAAGGAGATAAAGCTGTCCTGAAGAATATTTTTTCAAAATCTGACCGGAAGAGGTCACACGCGCCGGCGCGTCTGTCACACGCGCCGCCGGAAGCAGATCTCCGACAGGCGCGTGACGGCGCGTGGGTGAGTATTTTCGGTAAATTTTTCTAGGGTTTGGTCGGATCTCTCTTGGGAACCTTGTGGTGGTGTTGGATTTTGCACAACACTGATAATTAGTGACTTTGACGCAATCAGTCACTTAGGTCACCGGAAAATTACACGGTGACTGAGTTCTTTCTTCCCGGATGTCGCTGGAATGACGCACAACGATCTCTTCTCGCGGATGCTCTGATACCATGTGAGAATGCACGGGAGAAAAATCTATTTGATTAATTATGACAATGATACAATGAGCCCTATATATATAATACACGTCCTACTCCTAATACATATGGGATTAGAGTTATTTACTACTATTTAACTCTCAAACTAACAAGCACAAAATACAACTCCAGTCCTTCCTCGTGAACGCGGCTAGACCATCGCGTTCGTGATGCACAACTGCCCTTACCCTCCGGGAACGGGGTAAACCATTGCGAACACGTAAAACCAAGTTCCTCTAGCTTATAACCCCTTCGCGAACGCGAGCTACTGATGCGAATGCAAAGCACAAAAATCCCGCTTGCATAAAAATACTACACGAACGGGGTTAGTCCTTCACGATCGCGAAGAACATCAGAGACCTCAGAAAACTAGCAATCCTAACAACATCCGAAATGGTCCGAAACCACTCTGAAACTCACCCGAGTCCCTCGAGACCCCGTCCAATCAAACCAAAAAGTCCAAATACATTATCTAAAATTATCCAAAAAGCTAAAAAAATCATAAATAACATCAAATCAAGAATCGAAGATCAAGATCATTCCCTTAACTTTCAAACCTTCAAACTTTGTCGAACGCGTCTGAATCACGTTTAACCATTCTGGATCACAATCAAACGTTGCATACAAGTCCCAATCAACAAAACGTACGTATACGAGATTTCAAAACAACAATAGGAGTCTGATAGCACTGAAGTCAACTCCCGGTCAAACCTATGAACTTTTCAAACCTTCAAATTGCCAACTTTCAGCAAATATAAGCAAACCATCTAGGAACATCCAAATTCAAATATGAACATATACTCAAGTCCAAAATTGCCAAACCTATTGAAACCAACAAATCCTGATTCCGGGGTCATTTCCTCAAAAGTCAAACCTTAGTCAACTTTTCCAACTTGAAGCTTCCAAATTGAGAATTACTCGATTAACTCAATTCCAAACTACTCGAAAAAAAAAACAAACCATGCATGCAAGTTATAATACACCATAAGAAGCCGCTCGAATTCTCAAATCATAGAACGAGATGCTAGAACTCAAAATGACTGGTCAGGTTATTACGCACTGATGTATCATCTATGTCAGGCAAGTGAGCATCAAGAGGATTGGAGGTATTTATAATATCAATTTTGAACAAGTTCAAGTATTCCCTTGAAAATTCGTGGAGTAAAGGGCCGGAATTTCAAATCGGTATAAGTACATGTATTTATTAGGTTATTCTGCCTTGTTAAAAAGCTAAATAAATATGTACTAACCAATAAAATGCAGAAAAGATAAAAATAAATTTAAAACAACAAAGAAAAAAAATAAGAAGGAGAAAACGTGAAGTCCAACGAAGAAGTCTCCCCGCCGCAGAAGGTCAGGAACAGCATATTCCCGCCCAATATAACGCCTCTGTTTCCTTCATATTTTGATTCCCCTCAATCATTCTTTCTGATTCTGTCTGATATCAATTCGTTACATCATCGCCTCTTTCCTCCTTCCAATCGTCGAGCTTATAAAGGCCTAAAATATTAATTAATTACTAACCCGTTGAAACAAAAGGCAATTTTCTCAATCGGTGTTCTCCTGATCCATTGTTTAGAAAAAATGGGAGCATGTGCAAGCAAGCCTAAGGTCTTGGAAGGTACCGCTCCGGCGCCGGAAGTGGCCTCCAACGGTAATGTAGCAAATGTGGCGGCGGAAGAAGGAATTGTGGGTGATGATAAACGCCAGTCTCTCGGTAATTTGTTCAAGGAGGTATTCATATTTTACGGTGGCTCTCTCTATTTCTCTGTTTAAATTTATGTCAAATAAAACATTTTCAACGTTTCACATATTTTTAATGCAATTGCTTTGACATTAGCCTAGTTTCTCAATGTTAAAAAAGAATGACACATTATTATATTTGAAAACTCTTTAATTTTAAAGTTTTTATTTTAAGTTTAATAGTATATGCCAAAAAAAAAAAAATCCTTTTGTGCCCAACTACCCAAGTCAAACACCATCATATCCAATGAAACAAAGGAAGTTATTGTTGATAAATTTATTTGCATCTCGCTAATTCTTGATATTAATTCGCCGATGCAGAGTGAAGAAGGGAAAGACTCAGAACAAGTGAAAGAGGAGACATGTACCACAGAAACTTCTGAACCATCGGAACCCCAAACAGAAGAAGTTGTGACGGTACTTGATGCCCATATAACGACTGACACAAGAAAAGCACCAGAAGTAGAGACCCCAGATGCCAAAACATCCGTTGAAAAAGCAACAGAAGAAGTAAAATCAGAAATCGAGACTCCTACAGAGGAGAAAGTAAAATCAGAAGCAGAGACGAAAACTGAGCAAGTAAAATCAGAAACAGAGACGAAAATTGAGCAAGTAAAATCAGAAACAGAGGGCACAGGCTTTTGCAGAGAAGAAAGAAGAGGAAGTAAAAGAAGCAGTGGAGACTCAAGCAGAGAAGAAAATCCCGTAACAGAGGCAACAAAATCTGAAGCTCTAGTAGAGAACAAAACTGAAGAGAAGCCAGCTACGGAGGCAAAGAAACCTGTCATTGAAGAAAAGAAGTCAGGCAAATTTTGGTGGGACAAGTAAATCATAACGACGCAAATGGTTCCTTAATTACTTGAAGGGTTGCATGTGTGATTAATTCAAGATGGTATGTCACTGATTTCATGTTGAACAAAATTTCATGTTTAATACTATTATTCTCATTACCATACTACGTTTTCATCTCCTTCATTAGCACATTTGACATTATCTACTTTTAATTTGGTATATGAATAAGAAAAGTATTTTATATTCTTGTTCATCACTCGTGAAGCTAAATTTAACACTTTAGTCGATATAGGAAACGCAAGAGGGGGTAAATTGCAATTTATTCGACTTTAATTGTTCTAATAATCTTTTGAAATTTAACTTTCAGTCAAATGCAACCCATCACAATTTATAAACTCTTTAAATATTCTAACAAATTTTTTTAATCCAAAATTAGATATTTAGGATAAAGCAATTTAATTTGTAGTTGAAGGATAAAAGCCATAAATTCAATCCAAATAATAACTACTCCCTACCTTTCAAAAGAATTGGCACCATTACTATTGAGAAGTCTACGACATTGTTGTATTTCTTAAATATTTTATAAATATTACTCCCTCCGGTCCAAAATAAGTGATTTTTTGGCCTTTTTCTTGTGGTCCAAAATAAGTGATTTTTCCAGATTTCAAGAATGAATTAATTATTTTTTTTCCTACATTGTCCTTGAAGTAAATGGTGTTGGAATATGTGTTAGGAGTGTTTATGTGAGATAGTAAAGGTTAATATGGTCAATTTCATTGCTAATTAATGCTAAAAGGTGAATTTCTCAATTTGTGTGAAAACATCCAAAAAATCACTTATGTTGGACCGGAGGGCGTATGAATTATAAATTATTATGACTTCTAATACTTTTATGTAGTTTCCGAAAATATAAATTTTATTTTCAAAAACATAAAGTATCTATGTTCAAATTCACACTTAAAGTTAAGTACTTTGACCCTCGTACTTTGAACTATGCCATTCTTTTTAGAACAGAGGAAATACACAATTAAGGTAAAATATACGATAAAGCAACGAATTATTGTCACGACCCGTAATTCTCACCCTCGAGATCGTGATGGCGCCTAACATTTGACTTGTTAGGCAAGCCAACGTTAGTATATCTATTAATCATTTTTAACAATTTTCAAAATGACAATGATAAAACTGAATAGTCTGAAATAAGGAAATAAAATAATGAGTGACGAAATCCAAATACAAACCCCGGAACTGGTGTCACGAATACATGAGCGTCTAGAGTACTACATATAATGGTCTGAATCAAAATAAACAGCTAAGATGATATAGAAGGGACTTTAGAGTTGCGGACGCCGTGCAACTATACCTCAAGTCTCCACTAATAGCTAGATTCGAGCAACCTCACTCAGTAACTGGGACCAACTCCGGTATCTGCACAACAAAGCAGAGTGTAGTATGAGTATAACCGAACCCATGTACTTTGTAAGTGCCGAGCCTAACCTCGACGAAGTAGTGATGAGGCTAAGGCGGTCACTTATAATAATAATAATAATAATAATAATAATAATAATAATAATAATAATGATAATAACAACAACAACAACAACAACAACAACAACAACAATAATATAATAATAATAATAATAACAGAAAAGATAGGAATCAAAATAAAGCAGCTAATTCATAACACTCAAGATCCAACTACCGAAGAGCCGAGAATAACAAGTCTATAACTCATCTCAAATACCAAGGCCAATCTAACAGTCACAAATAAATATAACTTTATACAATCTGTTGCGGTGCACAACCCGATTCCATCATATCATCATCTGTCAATATAATAATCCGTCCTTATACTGCCATTTCAATTCATTATCTTTCAATTTTCGTTGCGGCGTGCAACCCGCTCCCCAAACAATTTCAATCGACAATAACAAATCAACAACAAAAATTTACATGAAGTTGTACATCAAGAGAGTAAATGTACGAGAGAATGAAGGATCACATAGTACTCAAGGAATCTCAAATAACTCGAATGTCTCAACTTTACCAACTCATCGATAACTACCAATTAACAACTCATACACGTGAATCGACATTATAGTAGGCAACAAATTTTACAAAACTATAAGACAAGCAAGACATAGTACAATTTAGATATGCAAGAAAAGAAAATAGAGACAAGAAACAAATAAGCACGGAATTATTGAAAGAATGGACAATTTAATACAAGGATAACTAAATGACAAGTAACCATTATGGCATAGAAGTCAAATAAGAATATAGCAATTAAGGCATGTAACAAGATATACCAAGAAGTAACGAAAATATGGAAGCAAGTAACACAACAACGCATATACACTCGTCACCTTGTACGCCGTTTCAATTGTTGGCAATCTACGAAGTTCCAAATTCTGTTCCATAGTGACCTTTGAAGGTACATTATTGAGCAAGGAAAAGTCAGATGCATCACTTTTATTTGTGAATTGTCTTGATAAAAGTCCACTACAGCTGTAGCCAATTGCTCCTAGTCTTCAATCCATACCCCACTTCCACTTTTGATCCTCTTCAGTTGTAATTTCTTTCTTTTGCCATTGACATGATTGTGAAAGAAACTTGTATTCCTATCTCCTTCAGCAAACCAAGTCATCCCAGCTTTTTGCTTCCAATACTTCTCCTCAATACTCAAGTATTTCTTCAATTCAGATTGTGCCTTTTGAAGCACAATCCTGTTTTCAATTGAAGGCTCTTCTTCAAATAACATCTCTTTTACCCTAAAAATGTCCTCCAAAATAGCCAATTGCTTGAAGATATCACCAAATGTTTCCCTACTTCATTTTGACAGTGCTGCCTTCACCCTCTTGAGCTTCTGCTTGAACATCAAAAATGGATCCCCTTTGAAATCAGCTTCCTAATTCCAATAACAAATCAACAACAAAAATTTACATGAAGTTGTACATCAAGAGAGTAAATGTACGAGAGAATGAAGGATCACATAGTACTCAAGGAATCTCAAATAACTCGAATGTCTCAACTTTACCAACTCATCGATAACTACCAATTAACAACTCATACACGTGAATCGACATTATAGTAGGCAACAAATTTTACAAAACTATAAGACAAGCAAGACATAGTACAATTTAGATATGCAAGAAAAGAAAATAGAGACAAGAAACAAATAAGCACGGAATTATTGAAAGAATGGACAATTTAATACAAGGATAACTAAATGACAAGTAACCATTATGGCATAGAAGTCAAATAAGAATATAGCAATTAAGGCATGTAACAAGATATACCAAGAAGTAACGAAAATATGGAAGCAAGTAACACAACAACGCATATACACTCGTCACCTTGTACGCCGTTTCACACGTAATTCACATAACATGTAGCTCAAGAGTTCCTAATTTCCTCATATCAAGGTTAGACCCAATACTTATCTCACTCCGCAACTCAAGCAATCAATCAACTACGACCTTGCCTTTGAACAAGCCTCTGAACCAATCAAATCTAGCAAATTATTGACCAAATAATTCAAAATAAGCTTTAGAAACTTCCCACAAAGAGAAGAGGTTTAATTTAGATCATTTTGAAAGAGTCAATAAAAGTGAACCTCGGGCCCGCTTGGTATAATCGAGATTCTGACCAAAACTTGATTACCATTCAGCCCCCGAGTCCGGTTATGTGATGTATTTCGAAATCCGACCCTAATTCGAGGTCTAAATCTCAATTTTACAAAAAATTTCAATTCTACCCAAATTCCTAATTTCTACCATGGAAATCCTAAATTTGATGTTGAATCTCATGAAATATAATGGGTAATTGAATAGAAATGGATTAAAATCACTTACCAATGAATTTGGGAAGAAAAGTCTCTTGGAAAATTGCCTCTAGGATGTTTAGGGTTGAGAAATTGTGAGAAATGAGCCAATTCCCCC